CGACCCTTGATGCTCTCGGCCCTAACACTAAACTCTCAACCCTTGACTCTCGGCCTTGACCGTTGACCCTTGACCCTAGACGCTCGACTCTCGATCCTAGACCCTCACACTTCGACCCTCACCCTCAACTCTCGGTAACCTCGGTGCCGTCATCTGTTGACCCTCGACGCCAACTCTCGTCCCTCGGTGCTCTCGACCCTCGAAGCTCGACCCTCAACCCTCGACCCTCGATCCTCGAAGCTCAACCCTCGAAGCTCGACCCTCAACCCTAACCCTAACCCTAAACCATAACTCTAATCTCAAACCCTAAACCATAAACGATAAACCCATATTCCTAAACCTTAAACCCTAAACAAGAAATCCTAAACCCTAATCACTAAGCCCTAAACTTTAAACCCTAAAACCCCCACGCTAAACGTTAAACCCCAACCCTTAAACACTAGACCCTCGACCATCGGCCCTCGACCATCGACCCACTACCATCGGTCGTCGACCATCGCCCCTCTAACATCGGTGCCCTCGACCCTCGACCCTCGACCCTAGACACTCGACCCTCGATTGTCAGACCTCGACCCTCGACCTCGGTGCCATCGGACCTCGACGCTATACTCTCGACATTTGACCCTCCACCCTGGACTCTTGACGTTTGACCCTTAACGTTGGATTCTCTACCCTCGACCCTTGACCCTCGGCCCTCGACCCTCAACCCTAATGCTAAACCCTCGACCCTCAGTCCTTGACCTCCACTCTGGGTGCCCTCAGCCCTCGGCCTTTGGCCCTCGACCCTCGACTCTCGACCTTCGACCCTCGATCGTCGAACCTCTACCCTCGGCAGTCGGCCCTCGACCCTTGACTCTCGAAGCTCTACCCTTGGCTCTCGATCGTCGAGCCCTAACCCTTAACGCTCGACGATGGACCCTTGACCCTCAGCCATCGACGCTCGACCCTCGACGCTTGACCGTCGGCCCTCAAAGCTCGACCCTTGCTGCTCTCGACACTCAACGCTCGATGCTCGACCTTATACCCTCGACGCTCGACGTTCGACCCTTGACCCTCGATTTTCGACGCTCGACCCTCAACCCAAACACTAACCCTAAACCATAACTCTAAACTTAAACCCTAAACTGTAAACGATAAACCCCTAATCATTAACCCTCAACCCTAAACTTACAATCATAAAGCCTAAACCCTAAAGCTTAAAACCTAAAGCCCTAAAACCCTAACGCTAAACGCTAAACCCTAACGTTAAACACTCGACCCTCGGCCCTCGACCATCGACCCTTTCCCATCGGCCCTCGGCCATCGACCCTTATCATTGGTGCCCTCGACCCTCGAGCCTTGACCTCTGTGCCCTCGGACCTCGACGCTCGACCCTATACTCTCGACAATCGACCCTCCACCCTCGACTCTCGACATTCGACCCTTGATGTTGGACCCTCCACCCTCGGCCATTGACCTTCAACCCTAATGTTAAACCCCCAACTCTCGAGCCTCGACCCTCGGTCCTCGCCCTCCACTTTGGGTGCCCTTAGCCCTCGACCTTTGGCCTTCAACCCTCGACCCTTGGCCCACGACCCTTGACCCTCGACCATCGACTTTCGATCCTCGACCCTCGACCCTCAACCCTCGGCTTTCGATCTTGGACCTTAGACCCTAGACCCTCGATCATTGATCCTCGACGCCCGGTACTCGGTCGTCGTCCCTCGACCGTTGAACCTCGGCCCTCGGCCATGGACCCTTAATCCTCGGCGTTCGGCCCTCAACCGTCTACCCTCAAAGCTCAACCCTAGACCCTCGACCCTCAACGCTGGACCCTCGACCCTCGACCCTCGACCTTCGACCTTTGGCCTTCGATCCTCGACTCTTGATCCTCGACCCTCGGTCTTCGGCTATCGGCCCTCGATTGTCTACCCTCGACCCTCAATGCTTGACGCTGGACCCTCGACCCTCGACCTTCGACCCTTGACCCTTGGCCCTCGACCTTCAACCCTTGACTCTCATCCTCGACTCTCATACTCGACTCTCAACCTCGACCCTCGACCGTCGTACCTTTGCCCTCGGTCCTCGACCCTTGACTATCGAAGCTCGACCCTCGACCCTCGACCCTCAACGCTGACCCTCGACCCTCAACGTTGGACCCACGACCCTCGTCCATCGACCCTAAACCCTAATGCTAAACCCTCGACCCTCGGTCCTTTCCCTCCACTCTAGGTGCCCTCGGCCTTCGACCCTCGAACCTCGACCCTCGCATTCGACCCTCGATCCTCAACCCTAATGTTGAACCCTCGACCCTGGACCCTCGGCCCCCGGCTTTCGACCTGGACCCTGAACCCTCGACCCTTGATCCTCGACGCTCGACCCTCAACGCCCGGTACACGGTCGTCGTCCCTCAACCCTCGACCTTCCGTGCCCTCGACCCTCGACCCTCAACGCCCGGTACACGGTCGTCGTCCCTCAACCCTCGACCTTCCATGCCCTCGACCCACGACCCACGACCCTCGACCCTCTACTCTCGATGCTCGACCCTCGGGCTCAACGTTCGACCCTCTACCCTCCAACCTCAATCCTAACAATAAACCTTAACGCTAAACCCTCGACCCTCGACTCTAGGTGCCTTCAACTCTCGACCGTCGATCCTCGACTCTCGACCGTCGACCCTCGACCTTCGTCCCTCGACCGTCGACCCTCGACCCTCAACCGTTCACCATAAACCCTGACATTAAACCTAAAACCTGACTGTTAACTCTAAACCCTAAACCTCAAACCATAAACACCTAACTGTAAACCCTAAATCCTTAACCCTAAACTTGAAACCCTATAGCCTAAACCCTAATCACTAAATCCTAAGCCTTAAACCCTAAACACTAAACCTTAAACCCTAAACCTTATACACTAAACCCTAAACCCTAAACCCTAAACATTAAACAAAAAACCTTAAACCTTATCATAAACCCTAAACCATCAACCATAAACCATCAACCAAAAACCATCACCTATCAACCCTCAACCATCAACCCTAAACCCTCAACCGTCACCCCTCAACTCTAACGTTAAACCCTCGACCCTCAACCCTCAGCCCTTGGCTCTCGGCCCATGACCCTCGACTCTCGACTCTCGTTGCCCTCGGCCCTCAACCCTTGGCCCTCGGCGCTCGGCTTTCGACCCTCGACCCTCGACCCTTGACTCTCAATCCTCCACCATAAACCCTGACATTAAACCCAAACCTTGACCCTCGATGTTCGACCCTCGACGCTCGATGTTCGACCCTCGACCCTCGACCCTCGACCCTCGACCCTCGACCCTCGACCCTCGACCCTCGACCCTCGACCCTCGACCCTCGACCCTCGACCCTCGACCCTCGACCCTCGACCCTCGACCCTCGACCCTCGACCCTCGACCCTCGACCCTCGACCCTCGACCCTCGACCCTCGACCCTCGACCCTCGACCCTCGACCCTCGACCCTCGACCCTCGACCCTCGACCCTCGACCCTCGACCCTCGACCCTCGACCCTCGACCCTCGACCCTCGACCCTCGACCCTCGACCCTCGACCCTCGACCCTCGACCCTCGACCCTCGACCCTCGACCCTCGACCCTCGACCCTCGACCCTCGACCCTCGACCCTCGACCCTCGACCCTCGACCCTCGACCCTCGACCCTCGACCCTCGACCCTCGACCCTCGACCCTCGACCCTCGACCCTCGACCCTCGACCCTCGACCCTCGACCCTCGACCCTCGACCCTCGACCCTCGACCCTCGACCCTCGACCCTCGACCCTCGACCCTCGACCCTCGACCCTCGACCCTCGACCCTCGACCCTCGACCCTCGACCCTCGACCCTCGACCCTCGACCCTCGACCCTCGACCCTCGACCCTCGACCCTCGACCCTCGACCCTCGACCCTCGACCCTCGACCCTCGACCCTCGACCCTCGACCCTCGACCCTCGACCCTCGACCCTCGACCCTCGACCCTCGACCCTCGACCCTCGACCCTCGACCCTCGACCCTCGACCCTCGACCCTCGACCCTCGACCCTCGACCCTCGACCCTCGACCCTCGACCCTCGACCCTCGACCCTCGACCCTCGACCCTCGACCCTCGACCCTCGACCCTCGACCCTCGACCCTCGACCCTCGACCCTCGACCCTCGACCCTCGACCCTCGACCCTCGACCCTCGACCCTCGACCCTCGACCCTCGACCCTCGACCCTCGACCCTCGACCCTCGACCCTCGACCCTCGACCCTCGACCCTCGACCCTCGACCCTCGACCCTCGACCCTCGACCCTCGACCCTCGACCCTCGACCCTCGACCCTCGACCCTCGACCCTCGACCCTCGACCCTCGACCCTCGACCCTCGACCCTCGACCCTCGACCCTCGACCCTCGACCCTCGACCCTCGACCCTCGACCCTCGACCCTCGACCCTCGACCCTCGACCCTCGACCCTCGACCCTCGACCCTCGACCCTCGACCCTCGACCCTCGACCCTCGACCCTCGACCCTCGACCCTCGACCCTCGACCCTCGACCCTCGACCCTCGACCCTCGACCCTCGACCCTCGACCCTCGACCCTCGACCCTCGACCCTCGACCCTCGACCCTCGACCCTCGACCCTCGACCCTCTACCCTCGACCCTCGACGCTCGACCCTATACCCTCGACCCTCAGCCCTCGACCCTCGACCTTCGATTTCGACCCTCCACCCTTAACCCTCAACCTTAACGCTAAACCCTCGACCCTTGCCCCTTGACCCCTGACCCTCGACCTTCATTCCTCAATCCTCCACCAGAAACCCCGACACTAAACCAAAACCTTGACCCTAAATTCTAAACCCTAAACCCTACCCCTAACCGTAAATGCTAACTCTAAACTCAAACTTTAAACCCTAAACCCTAAACTCTTAATTCTAAACCCTTAATCCTAAACTTTAATCACTAAACCTCTAATCCTAAACCCTAAAACTCTTATACCCAAACACTAAACCTAAACCCTAAATAATAAATCCTAAACCCTAACCATTAAACAGAAAAACTTAAACCATCATGCAACCCTAACAATAAACCCGAGACCCTCCATCCTCGACCATTCACCCTCCACCCTCTACCCTCGACCATTCACCCTCCACCATCTACCCTCGACCCTTGACCCTCGGACCTCGGCCATCGACCCTCGAGTCTTGGTGCCCTTGGCCTTCGGCCCTCGAACCTCGTCCCTCGACGATCGACGCTCGACCCTTGATGCTAGACGCTCGACCCTCGACCCTCGACCCTCGATCCTCGACCCTCGACTCTCGGGCTGGACCCTCAACCCTCAACCCTCGATCCTCAACCCTAACGCTAAACCCTAACGTTAAACCCTCGACCATCAGCCCTTGACCCTCGACTCTCGCTGTGCTCGACCCTCGATCCTGCACCATAAACCCTGACATTAAACCCAAACCCTGACTCTAAACCCTAAAGCCTAAACCCTAAAATCGAAACACTAAAGCCTAAACCCTAATCACCAAACCTTAAACCCTAAACCTCTAAAACTATAAACCCTAAACATTAAACCCTAAACCCTTAACATTAAACAATAAACCATAAACTCTATCGTAAACCCTAAACCCTTAAACCTAAACCTTAAACTCTAAACCGTAAACCATCAACCATAAACCATCAACCAAAAACCATAACCCATCCACCAAAAACCATAACCCATCAACCCCCAACCATCAACCCTCAACCGTCAACCTTCAACCCTAACGTTAAACCCTTGACCCTCAACCCTCGATCCTCGACCCTCGACCCCATACCCTCGACCCTTTACCATCGATGTTCGACCCTCGACGTTCGACCGTTGACCTTCAACCCTCAACCTTAACGCTAAACACTCGACCCTCTACCTTCGACCCTCACCCCGTGACCCTCGACCATCGACCTTCAATCCTCAATTCTCCACCATAAACCGTGAAACTAAACCCAAACACTGACCCTAATCTCAAAACCCTAAACCCTACCCCTAACCGTAAACGCTAACTCTAAACTTAAACTCTAAACCCTAAACTCCTAATTCATAAACCCCTAATCGTAAACTCTAATCACTAAACATTCAAACCCTAAAACCCTAAAACTCTTATACCCAAACACTAAACCTAAACCCTAAACACTAAATCGTAAACCCTAAACCCTAACCATTAAACAGTAAACCTTAAACCCTCATGCTAAACCCTAAACCCTAACAATAAACTCTCGACCCTCGACCCTCGACCCTCGACCCTCGACCCTCAACCCTCGCACCCTAACTCTAAACTTAAACCCTAAACTGTAAACGATAAACCCCTAATCATTAACCCTCAACCCTAAACTTACAATCATAAAGCCTAAACCCTAAAGCTTAAAACCTAAAGCCCTAAAACCCTAACGCTAAACGCTAAACCCTAACGTTAAACACTCGACCCTCGGCCCTCGACCATCGACCCTTTCCCATCGGCCCTCGGCCATCGACCCTTATCATTGGTGCCCTCGACCCTCGAGCCTTGACCTCTGTGCCCTCGGACCTCGACGCTCGACCCTATACTCTCGACAATCGACCCTCCACCCTCGACTCTCGACATTCGACCCTTGATGTTGGACCCTCCACCCTCGGCCATTGACCTTCAACCCTAATGTTAAACCCCCAACTCTCGAGCCTCGACCCTCGGTCCTCGCCCTCCACTTTGGGTGCCCTTAGCCCTCGACCTTTGGCCTTCAACCCTCGACCCTTGGCCCACGACCCTTGACCCTCGACCATCGACTTTCGATCCTCGACCCTCGACCCTCAACCCTCGGCTTTCGATCTTGGACCTTAGACCCTAGACCCTCGATCATTGATCCTCGACGCCCGGTACTCGGTCGTCGTCCCTCGACCGTTGAACCTCGGCCCTCGGCCATGGACCCTTAATCCTCGGCGTTCGGCCCTCAACCGTCTACCCTCAAAGCTCAACCCTAGACCCTCGACCCTCAACGCTGGACCCTCGACCCTCGACCCTCGACCTTCGACCTTTGGCCTTCGATCCTCGACTCTTGATCCTCGACCCTCGGTCTTCGGCTATCGGCCCTCGATTGTCTACCCTCGACCCTCAATGCTTGACGCTGGACCCTCGACCCTCGACCTTCGACCCTTGACCCTTGGCCCTCGACCTTCAACCCTTGACTCTCATCCTCGACTCTCATACTCGACTCTCAACCTCGACCCTCGACCGTCGTACCTTTGCCCTCGGTCCTCGACCCTTGACTATCGAAGCTCGACCCTCGACCCTCGACCCTCAACGCTGACCCTCGACCCTCACGTTGGACCCACGACCCTCGTCCATCGACCCTAAACCCTAATGCTAAACCCTCGACCCTCGGTCCTTTCCCTCCACTCTAGGTGCCCTTGGCCTTCGACCCTCGAACCTCGACCCTCGCATTCGACCCTCGACCCTCAACCCTAATGTTGAACCCTCGACCCTGGACCCTCGGCCCACGGCCTTTCGACCTGGACCCTGAACCCTCGACCCTTGATCCTCGACGCTCGACCCTCAACGCCCGGTACACGGTCGTCGTCCCTCAACCCTCGAC